CCCTACATTCCACTCAGACACCCTTGTATGTCATTCACTCATTCATTATTCATTCATCAAAGATTTTTGAGGCTATGCTGTGTGAGAACTAAGCTGAGGAAATGTGGTGGTGGTTTAGTCACCAAGTTGTGTCCGACTCTCACGACCCCATGGACTGTAGCCCGCCAGGCTCCTCTGTCCATGGGATTCTCCAGGTGAGAACACTGGAGTGGGTTGCCATTCCCTTCATACAAAGTAGGGCCATTACTTTTAAGAAGCTCACAGAGTAGTAAGCCAGACAAGCTCATACCCACAAGGTGTATCAATCATTGTTTATTTTTCTATGTTTCTTAAATGTTTTAAAAATTAATTTATTCATTTTTAATTGGAGGATGATTGCTTTACAGTATTGTGTTGGTTTCTGTCGTACGTCAACGTGAATCAGTCATAAGCATGCTGTGCTTTTGGTCATATAAAGAAAGCTTGATAGATTGAACTATGATGAGAAACCAGGTTAAATGACTCCTCATTTCACAGAAAACAAGCACAAATATACCCACACACAAAAAAGAGAAAAGAAAAGAAATCTCAGTATTCACTAATATCATTTTGGATATATCCAACTTTTGATGATTCGTTATTTTCCTGATACAGTAGAACTATAGTGTAAAGCTTGAAAGCCAGACCCTTAGCCTGAGGAACATAAGTGGCCAAGCTTAGTACATCATCAAGTTCTTGTCCACTTCTCATGAGCTCTGGGGCCAGGGTCAAGGGACTAAAATACTCTAAATCTCAGATTCCTGCTCTTGAGGATGATACTGTTGGCACACATCCCACGGGATGGTAGTAAGGATTAAATACCACATGTAAAGCAAGTAGCACAACATCTACCAGGAAAGTCAGTATTTCTCTAGCATATTGTGAATGTCTTCAATTCATTCACATCAAGTGCATGTTAAACAGGAGAATTCTGGGCCCCACCCACACCTTTAAAGTAAATATCTCTGGGATGTGGGGCCAGATGTCTGTATTTTAATAACCCCAGGAACCCTAATGTGCACTAAAGTTTGAAAACTCAGGGTAATAAACTATTGATTATAATTAGCCTCAGAACATCTACCAATGATTTTAGGAAAATCATTCCTAAAATGATTGAATGATTTCTTGCAAAGTTTCTTGCATTTCTTACAAAGTTTCAAAATTACTGACATAAATTTAATAGCAACATCCTTGTATTACCTTCTTAATATCTGTCTACACTGTAGTGATAGCCCCTTTTTTACCTCCTGTGGGTTATTTATGGCTTTTTTCCCACTTAATCAGCATCATCAGATATTAACTTATTTATTAAGCCTTTCTTCAGTATTATTTAAAGTGTATTAATTTCTGCTCTCACTCACTATGTCTAACTACTGTTAGCTGCTCCACCATTTTGTTTAATTGCAGGATTCTTTTTCAAATCTTTTAGGTGGATGTTTAGATTGTTAATTTTCAGCCTCTCACTTTTAAAATATATTTTGTAAAGTTCTGCATTTTTCTTTGAGCATAGTTTAAAATCCTACTTGTAGTAATAACATTCTCAGAGCTCAGATTATAATAAATGTTAAAATCAGAGCAGAAAATGGGGGAAAATGTTTTTAATTTCCATCTGCCATAAAAGAAAAATTGACAATATTATCTCTGATTATAGACTTTGTAAATAAAACTTTTATTACTTAATAGAGATTCAAATTACCCAAACAATTCAAGAAAAAAATAGAAAACCTAAAATCCCTGTTTACATTCGAGAAATTAAAATGAAAAATGTACAACATCCCATACACAAACTCCAGTCACATACTGTGCACTCTTGAATTCTATTTAAAGGAGAAATAATGTTAGTCCTTTGCAAACTTTTTCAGAAAGCAGAAGAGGAGGAATTATTTCACAATCCATTTTATGAAGCCACTATAACCAGATACTGAAGCCAGAAAAAGTCAGTGTAAGAAAATTGCAGGCAGATATCATTCATGAAAAAGTTGGCTTGAAACTCAGCATTCAGAAAACTAAGATCATGGCATCCAACCCCATCACTTCATGGCAAATAGATGGGAAAAAAGAATGGAAACAGTGACAGATTTTATTTTCTTGGGCGCCAAAGTCACTGCAGACGGTGACTGCAGCCATGAACTTAAAAGACACTTACTTGCTCCTTGGAAGAAAAGCCATGACAAACCTAGAGAGCATATTAAAAAACAGAGACATCACTTTGCTGACAAAGGTCTGTCTAGTCAAAGCTATGGTTTTTGCAGTAGTCATATACAGATGTGAGAGCTAGACTATAAAGAAGGCTGAGCACCAAAGAACTGATGCTTTCAAATTGTGGTTCTGGAGAAGACTATTGAGAGTCCCTTGGACAGCAAGGAGATCAAACCAGTCAACTGTAAAGGAAATCAGTCCTAAATATTCATTGGAAGGACTGATGCTGAAGCGGAAGCTCCATTACTTCCCGATGCGAAGAACTTACTCATTGGAGAAGACCCTGATGCTGGGAAAGACTGAAGGCAAAAGAGAAGGGGACAACTGAGGATGAGATAGTTGGATGGCATCACCGACTCAATGGACATGAGTTTGAGAAAATTTTGGGAGAAGGTGAAGGACAAGGAAGCCTGGCATGCTCTAGTCCATGAGGTCGCAAAGAGTCAGACACAACATAGTGACAGAACAACAGTAACAACATGTAGATACATATACAGGCTGTCATTGAAGATAACTGATGGGACAATGTTCTTTCTTCATTTCTCAGCTATAGAACTTACCTCATTTTGCCTTTTTCTTTAGGAAATAATTGCAATTATTTGAAATGATTATATTTTAATCATTTCAAATAATTTTATATGAAATCTATATCTATAATACTTTCATGGGTCAACAATCTAAGTAAAATACTGAATCATTATTTTTAGTCCCCAAATATTTAGACACTTGAACATAAATAGTGCCCATATGCTTACTAAATTTCAAACTACTGTGCTTAAGTTAAATATAACCAACTTGGCACCGGAAAGTCTTTGCTTTACAAAATACCTGCAATAGGAGCGATTCTTTCCATTATATAGACAGTTGCAGCTGAGGACCAGCAAACATACAGTGTTTAAGACCATAGCATCCTGGTGGATGGCAGCATATTCCTAGATATCTCAGTCCTTGACCAACTGCAGCTGCACGATTATGCCTCTCCAAATAATTCATGCGACAGCTCTGCCTTTAAAGCACTGTTCACAATTAAATTCAAACTCACTAAGATGCATCTGCCAGTAATTCTTAAACTTTTTGTTGTCATGACTCATTTTTTTGTAATTCCTCAGTTCTAGCAGCCCATCTTCATCGCTGTTGTTTAGTTGCTCAGTTGTGTCTGACTCTTTGCGACTCCAAGGACTCTAGCCTGCCAGGCTCCTCTATCCATGGAATTTCCCAGGCAGGAATGTTGAAGTGAGTTGCCATTTCCTACTCCAGGGGATCTTCCCGATCCAGAGATTGAACCTGCATCTCCTGCATTGGCAGGCGGATTCTTTACCACTGAGCCACCTGAGAAGCCCTGATATTTGTCATATTGTTGTTTAGTCGCTAAGTCGTGTCCGACTCTTTGAGACCCCATGGACTACAGCACACCAGGCTTCCCTGTCTTTCTGTATCTCCCTGAGTTTGCTCAAACGCATGTCCATTGAGTCAGTGATGCCATTCAACTGTCTCATCCTCTGTTCTCCTTCTCCTCCTGCCTTTAGTCTTTCCCAGCATCAGGATCTTTTCCAAGGAGTTAGCTCTTTGCATCAGGTGGCCAAAGTATTGGAGCTTCCTCTGCAGTATCAGTCCTTTCAGTGAATATTCAGGGTTGATTTTTCTTTAAGATTGACAGGGATATATTTATTTCATCATGGGATATATTTTTCACTCATTTTATTAGTTAACATTTTATTAGTTCATTCAAATATTAGTTAACTAATATTTATTGATCACTTACTATACACCAAAGATAAGGTGCTAGGAATTAGGGATATTTTATAAACACACTTTGTAGGTCATACCAAGTTTTTTTACTTCCTGGAACTTAGCAACTAACCTTATCTTTCAAAATAAAGTATATCTAATGCATTTAAATGGGGATCGAGGGCTGCAGAATTTTGCAGTGGTGCTTGACATACACAAATATTTATAAAGGGTTTGGAATCATTGCCTAATAGATTTTCATCTACAAAATATCCAGGAATGAAAGCATTATGTGGTTTTATTTTGCTTACCGAAACAATGGCTGAAGTTCTGCAGAAGGCAGTCATTAATATCTGCATTTACCATATGCTGAATTTGATCATGAGTACTCTGTGCTTGGAGAGTCAGTCTGAGTGGGCATTAAACACTTCATGCCGCAGAGGTAAAATTGAGTAAGTTCTTGTGTAAATTAGATAAGGCATTCCTCCCCAGAATTGTTTATATGACATCCACTTAAGATTGTGTGAAGAAGCAGACAGTAACACCATTTGAGCAGAGACTCCAATTAGCTTTTTGCCCTTATGTTCCCATGGTACAATTTAACCATTTAATCCACACCACAGAGGATGCATAGAGAAGGAAATGACAATTCCAGTATTCTTGCCCAGGAAATCCCATGGACAAGGAGCCTGGTGGGCTACAATCCATGGGGTCTCAAAGAATTAGGCACAACTGAGCACACTCACGCATGCATGCATGCACACACATGCACATGTGCACACACACGCGTGCGCGCACACACACAGGACACAGGCCACAAGAAGTTGAAGAATGAGAGAATGACTTAGTGATTAAGACTACGTTAACTGCTTTTCCCACAGAATGGGAAAAGAGTATTTCACAGTGTGTGTCGGTGTTACCAAGGAACACCGTGACCCTTTCTGCGGGCTGTAGGCTTTCTGCAGGCTGTAGGTGGGTATACAGGTTTAGATCGCGCTGCCGTAAAAGTCACACCTCTCTTCACTGCATTGTCTCCATCCCTTGTTTCTTTGCAGAACGATTCAATGTGTACCTTATGCCTACACCAAATCTGGACATTTATGGTGAATGCACAATGCAGATTACGCATGAGAATATCTATCTCTGGGATATCCACAACGCCAAGGTCAAGCTGGTGATGTGGCCCCTCAGCTCACTGAGGAGATACGGGCGGGACTCGACATGGTTCACGTTTGAGTCGGGCAGGTAAGCTCTGAGAGCAGAAGCGACGTGAAGGAGGGGCCTGGGACCAAGATTTTGTGCTCAGGTAGATGGTTGTTTTCATAAAGGCTCACTTCGTTAGAGGTCTCCAAATATATGATTTCTTCAGATCCTTGTTAATAATCTGGATGAAACTGTGTTAACTCTATGGCAGGTTAATTACTCCAAAATAACTTCAGTCTCTTGTGCTGGCATCAGAGTAGTTTCATAATTATTTTTTATCATGCAATATATTTGTGAAATTATTACAGTATTATATTTTGGGTACATCCTCCTATATTTTTGGTGCAGTAGGATTTCCGTAAAAGTCAACATGTCCTTGCTGGCATTACTTTTGTGGATTTTTTTTTTTAAAGGAAAAAATGTTGAAAGGAGTCTTATATAAAATTGCTTAAATATTACTTTTTAAGGTTTGAGATAATTTAATGCAATATTCATTTATCCAGATGTTTATGTTAATAGCATTAGTCAAGTATAAATATTGATATTAATTCAGAATGACTGAAAAGAAAGTTGGCAAATCCATAATTTATGGAATGTGTGACTCAGATTTTAAATGAAGTATGTCAAGACAGATACACTGGTTTCTTGATCACAGCATATGGTTGGAATCCATAAATGTCTAAAATGAATGCTTGCTTCACAATCATTATTCACAGATATGATTTAGACATGAGCTTCAATCAATTGTATCAGGTCATTATGTTGTGACCCCTTTGTGATACTGTTGTCACTCGTCCAAAATAAGACTTAGGTTTGGGGATTCTATATAAGAAGTATTTAATGTATTCACACTTGGGTATATGATTTATCACATTCTAAAAATGAATCGGTGGCCTTATAGGGTAATTATGAAGTCACCATGTGACTGAGTAGACAAATTAAGATAGTTATGCAACAGAATTCTACCCACCATGACACACACAGCATGGATGAATCTCAAAAACATTGTTGTAACATTGGTAGGGAATCCTGCAACAGACAAAACTGATTTATAGCAATATAAATCCAATGAATGGTTGCCTCAGGTCAGAAGAGAACGGACTCCAGGGGGCACACAGGACCTGTGGGGGTGGAGACCGTGCCCTGGATCCTGACATTGGTCGAGAGCCATGGGGCTGTTTACTCAGTATCAGTGTCCATCGTTATATGCAAAGTATCCCTCAGTGTTTCCAACATGGAAAAAAGTGGGGGCATTTACTCTTCTTCTTTTATGTGCTTTTACACTGTTTGAGGTTTGACAGTGAGCATTTGTCACTTTTTTTACAACAAATCACTTCGCCTGAGAGGAATGAGGCCAAGGGAGGGGAGAGAGCTGTGAGCATTTCTGGACGGGGCTTTGAGGGTGGCTCTTGAAGCTGTGCGTGACAGCGGGCCTTGATTCCTGGGTATGTACAGTAAGGGCAGAAGTCTGTTCCTGTAGCCTGAGGCAGGCCTTGCACTTTTTACGTTTTCCTTGTAGGTCTCCCTGTGTCCTTAGTATTGAGATGTTTTAACACTTGACCCTGGAACTTCCTTAGTGGTCTGCAGGCTAAGTCGCTTCAGTGGTGTCCGACTCTCTGCGCCTCTGTGGACTGTAGCCCGCCAAGTTCCTGTGTCCCTGGGGTTCTCCAGGCAAGAATACTGGGGTGGGTTTCCATGCCCTCCTCCAGAGGACCTTCCCGACTCAGGATCAAACCCGCGTCTCTTATGTCTCCTGCATTGGCAGGCGGGTTCTTTACCACTAGCTCCACCATGCATGGTGGGGGGCGCAGGTTCGATGCCTGGTCAGGGAACAAGTATCCCACATGTCATGGGGCAGCTGAGCCTGCTTGCCACAACTACTGAGCCACACGCACCATGGATAGAGAGCCAGCACACTGTAACCAAAGATCCCGACACAACCAAAGAAATACATGAATATTTTTTTAAAAATACTTTACGTCATCTGATTTTAAAAGTCAAACCAGGCTTTTGAGGGAGTAGTTGGAAAGAAAAGCTTAAAATCACTTACTATTTCTGCATCTTGAGAAAATGGCTTTTAATATTTTCCTGTACTTCCTTCTAATGTATTTTAAAATCAACATATTTTCATTTAATATTATATTGAGAAGTAATCTCCTATAAAGTCAAGATTTTTGTGACCATATGGTATTTGAACATATGGCTGTACTGTCATTAATTTAACATTAGGGTGTTCCCAAAATGAACTATCATAAATAAAGCCACACTGACCATCTGTGAAAAGATGTGCAAATATCTGATTATTTTCTTAGCAGAGCCTTTTTAAAGCAGAATTCCTGGGTCAAAAGCTGTGAACGTTTTCAAGGTTCTTCACAGTATAGCAAATTGCTTTCAAAGCAATTTCAATTCACACACCCTCTAATGGTGCAAAGAGCGTTCTTGACCCCATAACTACAGGCATTAAAAAGATGATTTAAGATGTTTCTATTTTAAGAGAGGACTTGGATATCTTGTTAATTTTTTTTTCTTTTCTCCTTTGTTTCTTTATGTTTGGAGGTTTGTCCTTGTGGTTACTGTTCATTTGTATGTTTTTCTTTCTCTGAGTTTTGGGTGTCCCTTGCTCTTGGAATATTGACCATTGCCCTGTGCATCTGTTTTATAAACTCCAAAAGATCTCACTCTTGCTAAAGGTAACCAAGAGCAGAAGGGTTTGTCCGTGTTGGACCCAGCTCCCCGAGTCAGGACTGGGAGAAGGGGTGTCGGGGGCGTGGGTGATGACACGGGACAGTTTAAAGGAGAAGCCGGCGAGTCAGTTTTGTGCTGTCAACGCAGTAGACGAGCTCCGGATCTCCATCTTCTGGGTTTTATTTTGTTCCTCTCTGCACGGGGCACAGCATTTGGAGGCTGTCTCTAGCCATTTGCTTGTACTGCCGCATGTACTGGAAAGTAATAAAACTGGGTGTTGAACTAGGTTTCTTCCACTGACAGGCTCTGTACAACTTTGCTCGTTTGCTTGGCCGCGCTGGGCCCTTGCTGCCTGCGCTGTCTCTGGGTGCGGTGAGCGGGGGCGCCTGTGGCGGCAGTGTACGGGCGTCGCCTATAGCAGTGACTTTCGTTGCAGAGCCCAGGCTCCGGGCTCGTGGGCTGCAGCAGAAGGGCTCCCTACTGACGAGCTTCTTCTAAAATGAATCTTAAATTCTGCTGTACCAGTAAAATATAAGCATGCACGGTAGGAATGGAGCAAGGTCATTCTTCCCGGAGGAGCACATCTCACGCAGCAGACAGTTGTAATCATACACCCATGTGGGTGAGGACTGGAGAGGAGGACCAGGGAGCTTTCGCTGGGAGCTGTCCTCACGAGGAGGGGCGTGGCCTGGGGAGATGAAGTCACAGCCTCCTGCCTGCTTAGAGTAATTGCTCAGTTCAGTTCAGTTCAGTCNTCCTCTGTCCATGGGATTCTCCACTTTAAACTACTGGAGTGGGTTGCCAGTTCCTTCTCCAATTATTCAGTAGGGAAATGAAAATTAAAACTACAATGAGATACAACTGTATATCTATTATAGTGGCTAAAGTTAAAAAGGAAAACCTGACAATACCAAATGCAGACAAGGATGCACAGCAGTTGGAACATGTACAGCTTTGGTGGGAATGGAGCATACTACAGTAGTTTGGAAAGAAACTTTGAGGTTTTTAAAAGAAACCTCAACATTGCCTGAAGATCTGATCCAGGGTCCTACTTCTTGGTATTTCCTTGCGAAAAATAACAATACATGCTCATACCAAAACCTGTACGTGTATGTTGCTAGCCATTTTATTCATCATTGACCAAAACTAGATAAACCAAATATCCTTCACTGAATGGATAAACAAACTATGATAAGTCTATAGGCAGCTCAGTTCAGTTTAGTTCAGTTGCTCAGTCATGTCCAACTCTTTGCGACCCCATGAACCCCAGCACACCAGGCCTCCCTGTCCATCACCCACTCCCGGAGTTTACTCAAACTCATGTCCATCGAATCGGTGATGCCATCCAACCATCTCATCCTCTGTCGTCCCCTTCTCCTCCCGCCTTCAATCTTTCCCAGCATCAGGGTCTTTTCAAATGAGTCAGCTCTTCACATCAGGTGGCCAAAGTATTAGAGTTTCAGCTTCAGCATCAGTCCTTCCAGTGAACACCCAGGACCAATCTCCTTTAGGATGGACCGGCTACTCAGCATCAAAAAGGAGTGAATGACATACATAATGAGTCCATCGAAGATGCCTTGTTCTAAGTGAGAGGCCAGATCCAGCCAACAGCATACTCTATGATGCCACGTACATGGTGGATAGAGCTACAAGGTCGGGAGGGAGACCAGTGATCGCCATGGAGTGGGGGCTGTGCAGAGGGAGGGACTGATGAGGAAAGGACAGAAGGGCAATGGCAGGGGGATGGCGGAGCTAGTATTTATCCTGATGGTGGTGGTGGATATTTCATTCTATACATCTGTCAAACCCCAGAGAACTGTCTAGCGCAAAGAGTGAATGCTACTAGGTAGGAATGGTTTAATTTTAAAATAAATTTTAAAAAGGAAAGAGTCACATATATGCTCAAATGATTTTTGGCAAGGCTGCCAAGACCATTCAATGGTGAAAGTCTTTTCAACAAATAGCTGGAAAAACTGTATATCCACATGCAAAAGGATGAAGTTGGCCCACCACTGTGTATCACAAATGTTAAGTTAAAACAAATTGAAGAGCTACATTTAACATATAAAACTATAAAACTCCTAGAAGAAAATACAGAGCAGAACTTTACAGCTTCAGATTTGGCAGTGATTCCTTGAACAAAAGGCAGCAAAAGGAAAAAGAGACAAATTGAAACGTATTAACAATTTAAGGAATTTGTACCTCAAAAAACAATATCAACAGAGTAAAGAGGCAACTCCCAAAATGGGAGAAAATACTTACAAGTCTTATATCTGATACGAGTTTAATGTTTTGAGTATAGAGAGAACTTAAAAAAATTCATAACAACAAAAAACAAACAACACACACAAAAATGCACAAAAGGACTTAAGTAGGCATTTCTCCAAAGAAGATATGCAAACAGGGAAAAGATGCTCAACATCACTAGCTTTTAGGAAAATGCAAACTATGATGAGATGCCTCCTCACACAAGTAGGAGGGCTACAATCAAAATAAAAATAATCACAACAATAGTAATGTGTTAGTGAGGTTGTAGAAAACTTGAAAGCCCTGTGCACTATTGGTGGGAAGGTAAGGTTTGTAGAGCCCCTGTGGAAAGCAGTATGGCAGTTCCTCAAAAAAAATAAAAATAAAAAACCTAAAAGTTAAGAGGCTTCATTCTCTGTTAAAAATGAGGGAAAGATTGCTGTCCCCTCCCCTTTTCTTAGAACATTTACTTTAGAAAATGTAAAATTATAAGTACTTTCCTCCCTCTTTGAAGAGGTGCTAAGTCACTCAGTCGTGTCGGCCTCTGCGATCCCATGGACTGCAGCCTGCCAGGCTCCTCTGTCCGTGGGGTTTCACAGGCAAGAATACTGGAATGAGTTGTCATTTCCTCCTCCAGGGGATCATCCCAACCTAGGGATCGAACCCGGGTCTCTCCTACTGTCTGAGCTACTAGGGAAGCCCTAAGATTGCTCTCTTTGAAATGTATATAAATCCTCCTGAAAACAAAATAGGTTTTTGTCAGCTTTAAGAACCAGGAGTGCCTTTATTTCAAGGACTCAGGAGCCAGGTCTTTGAAAGTTAAACATGAAAGAAGAGAACCCCTAACCCCCAGTCGCTGTGGGAGGGGAGGAGCCTTACTGCCTTGGCACTTGACTCCACATTGCAAAACTCCATTCTCTCATAAAGGCGTGAAAAGCTTGTTTTTCCTCTAGATAAAGCCAGTTAGCTAGTCTGGGTTGTCACTACAGTTACCAGGTGAACCGATGATGAACTCTGTCTGGAAAATAGTGCTGTTGAGTCCTCTCATACCTTGAGACCAGTGTTGTTTATCTTGAGAACATGTACATAGCACCTTATATCTGCTTTTGACTCTGAAAAGGGAGAGATGTCTTTTTATCTTTGCCATCTCTCAGCAGGTTGCCTGAGATGTGTATCATATTCTGGTTTAACATGAAAACAATAACAAGGGTGTTTTCTTTATTACTTTTGTGGAGAGGATTTCTAGATTGGAAGAAGATTTTGTTTTTACTTGTATTTCCCAACAGTATCAAGGGGAAGAAGTTAGAAAACAAAATGTTTGTTGGCTCTCCAGATGCTACAAAGAAAGGATCTCAGGGATAATTTGAGAACTTGCAGGCAAAGATGAAAGGGGTTTGAAAAAAATTAAAACCCTGCAACATTGGAAAGATAAGTATGTTGGGTCACAAAAGAGTATGAGATAAAGTTAAGGAAGTCTTTTA